AAAAAAAAAAAAAAAGGTCAGGGATGGAATTTTCAAAGTGGGAGGAAAGAAACATGCTTTAGAAGGTCCTTCCAGGCTGGGTGATCAGAGCACTTAGCCCATCAAGTCCCTGCAGCACATCCTGCCAACCCCTATAAAGGTGAAGAAAGGACCCTTCTGAAATAGTTCTAACTGCTCTTGCAGAGGATGAACCTAAAGCAGACCTGCACCATCCTTGTTCAATTAAGAAGGAAATTATGTATCAAATCCCTAGAAACATAGAATGCCATAGCTGGAGACTGGCATAGACTGTAAACGCCTCATTTTACTGATTGAAAACACAGAGGCCCAGAGAGGGAAGTGACCGGCTGAAAGTCACACAGCTAGTGAATTGACAGAGTAGGGCCTAGAATGCATGTGGCCTTGAGCCAAGCTATTTGATTTCTGCTTCAAAAATGGCAACCAGTAAAACTTGTAGGAAATCTCCACAATCCAAGTAGAATAAAAGGAGGAAAAAAATAGACTACCAAGGAGAAATGAATAAATGTGCCCCATGGTGATCAACGATTAAATTTGGTAAGTTATCTCCTCAAAGAGAAGGCACATCTTACCAACAGCTATAGTAACATAAACTGTGGGTACACGATGGTGCGTGACAAGTATGTGGCAATCGCTAATTCAACTTGTGCTGGAGACACGATCTCTTAAATAATCTCACTCAGTGACTTCTAGATGGGAAGGGTCTGTCTCATTCATCCACACTATCCCAGAGGTCAGTGCCATTCCTGTGTATTCTAGCCCTTAATGGAGAGGCACAGGCCTAAACTGTGGCTCACTCTGGCAAATGATGTTGGCCTCAAGGCAGCCTGACAGGCTGACACGTTTTGCAGACTTGGAGGAGCTGTAATGGAGCCATGGACATTTTACAGGGAGCCCTCTTAGCCTGCCCTTGTTGCGTTAACAAAGCTCCACAAGAGAAGCTAAGGGTAGATTTGGAGGGTGTCACTAGGGTGGTCAGGCTGGTGAAGTCCTCATCCAGAAACACCAAAAACAGGTGTCTTATCTTGGTGAGCAGCGAAAGTAGCAGTAAAGGTAGGCACCCTCAAAGAAGGAGAGTAAGTGCTTTAACAAAGTGGAACACAAGAGGCACATCTGGCCTTAAAGAGGCGAGGCTAATGACAGAAGCTTGGTTTCCTTACTGGGGTGAGACTTCATCATCCGGGCAAAAGCCTTCAATGTCAGTCTAAGGAAAGGCCTTCTTCTGTAGCTCATTTGGCAGGGGCAGTGAGGGCGGGTGGGGGGGGGGGGGGGGGGGGGGGGGGGGGGGGGGTTATCTGTTTTGAACAGTTCTTTCTAGAAGTGAAAGGGGTCGCTTTAAGTTACAAAGTCCTGATTGGGGGCCAGGAGGGTGAGAGGTCAGAAACCTTATTCTCTAAGATCTAATCACCCTGTGAAATGGACCCAGAGATCACGGGGACCCATGTCCTTGCAGAGCCCAAGAGTAAAGGGGTGCCTGGGGATCTATGTGGGTACGTAGGTATCTGAAGCCATTGGTGCAAAGTAGTTTATTCTCAGTTTTTCCAAAACCATCTTTCTCCCCATGTCCCCATCCAAGTGAGATCTGCTTTGACTCATGTGCTTTATAATTCCGAAGGGCTGGAAAATGTGTTTCTGTGCCAGAGAATCCCAATTTTAACAACAGCTGGATATAATCCTCCCTCGTGGGAGGGGTAGAGCCAGGACTGTGTCTGAGACCCAGGCAGCAGGATTTCTCTTTCGTTCGGCCCCCAGCTTCATCTGCTCGCCCACGGAAGGGTGACCGCTCTGCTTCATTACCCGTGTTCCACTCTGTTTACCGTACATCCTTGAAAGGACCTCTCTGGGGGGTTAAGTTATTCTGGAAGGATGTTTGATCCTGTGCTCTGCGAGGTGAGTTAAAAATAAACAGGTTTCTTTTCATGGAAGATCTTGTGGCCCCAGTGACCCGCAGGCTCCTCTGAGGAAAGAGTCTCCCCACATAAGTACTGGAGGTCACTGTCATCGGGAGAGTCTCTTATTAGTGCACACAGAGCTAATGGGTTTTGACAAGTGCCACCTCCAAGTGGAGCAAACACGTCCCACCTCGCGTTGGAAAATTACCTGAACTGTCTTCCCAATGAACAGGACAAGTAATTCATACACTGTAAATATTAGACAGCTTGTTCCTTAGCCATAACACTTAGCTTCAGGGTTTGGTATACCTAAACAACTTGCATCTAAAATGAAGGTGATTTATACCAAACCCAAAGGGTTTTTTTTGTTTGTTTGAACTTAACCACACCTACCTCTAATTTTTCTTCCTGGAACCATGACTTATTGGAAAGAATTATTATGTCTAAAACTCCCCATTTCCTCAGTGACCACGAAATAAATTAACAAATTGACAGGAAGCAGGCAGTGTGGCCCTGGGACCCCGGCACATGAGGGTTACCAAAAATAAAGCCACGAATCCTGCCTTCAATAAGTTCACTGCCTAGTAGGGGAAACAGAACCATCCCTAGACAATGCACTGCTGCCCCGTGTGACGCTAAGCAGGGATCTGTAAAATGTCCAAAAAAAGGAAGAGGCCCGCAAAAGCTAGAGCAGTAGGAGAAGACTTGGGGGGAGTTATTGAAGCGGAAAACATCCAGGACCACCAGTGTTTCCATGTAAGTGTCCTCATTGCCTGGCATTCGGCCTTCTGACCGCAATGCGCCTCTGAAGGAAGACTGAGAATGAGAGCAGCCGATGGCCTCTAGCAAGGCGAGCTGAGCGCGTGATGGGGAAATTAGGTTGGGGAGTAAAACGCGTGAGACACTCGAAGGCAGGGGCCTCCTTTGAAAACAGAAGTGAAGTCTGAGTATGCGCTCAGGTGCACGTGCACCTGCACACACACCACGAAACAAAAGGAAAATTGCAAAGGGGCATCAAAATACCTGCCAATTCCTGTGCCAGTGACTCTTCATGTAAGTGGCCGGGGCTGGGCGCACCTCCTTACGTTGGACTAAGTCTCGTTACTACCACTAACCCATTGTACGACCTCAGACGAGTCGCTTTAGCTCCTCCCACGTTTGTTTCTTCTCTGTGAGATGATGACGTAGCCACTGCACGGTCTGTGTGAGCCCATGTAGCTATGCGTTTCTACGTTTTTAAGATTTGCAGACATGGCTGCCAGCTGTCAAGCATTTGGGCTCGCACGCACGGTCTGGCCAGGGCGGATGGCGTTGGCTGCAGCCCGGATGAAAGACCGGGTCTTGCCTGGCTCTCGCTGACTGACTGTTGCCTGTATATCTGCCTTGCAGATACTATAACAGACTTGTCCGAAGCCTCCTGGAATGCGACGAAGACACAGTCAGCACCATCAGAGACAGCCTGATGGAGAAAATTGGGCCCAACATGGCCAGCCTCTTTCACATCCTGCAGACAGATCACTGTGCCCAAACATACCCGCGAGCTGACTTCAACAGGAGGCGCACGAGCGAGCCACAGAAGCTGAAAGTCCTCCTCAGGAACCTCCGAGGTGAGGTGGCCTCTCCCTCCCACATCAAACGCACCTCACAAGAGAGTGCATAAGCGGGGAGAGGTGTTCCCAACCTCGCCCAACTAGTATCATTTTAAAGGTGTTCGCGCACCAACTTTGAGTGTACTGTGCCTGGTTTGATTTTTTTTTTTTTTTAAGTAGTTCCTATTTTCTGTTCCCCTGACAGAAAACTGCATGAAACTAGGCTTCTGTAATCAATATCCCAACATTCTGCGATGGCAGCGTTCCCACAGACAGAATACGTGTGATCTTTCTGCCTCTCGGCAGGAGAGAGTACCCTTTTGATCACTTCCCTCTACCATGTCTTCTCCCGGGTCCCCTCAAACTACTCTCAAACACAGAGCATTCGCGTAAGGCCCAGTCCTTGTAATTGGAAGATGTGGAGGCCTTTTAGGATGGTTGCCCCAGTAGAGTTAGCTGATGAGAAGCAACTTAAATGCATGTCTTAAACGCTCATAAAGATGTTAAATGGAATTCGTGTGATGAATCTGTGCTGGCCATGGACGAATATGAATGTCGTGTTTGAATTCTTGATCTCTCATGAGCTAGTATCTTATGGTCTTGATCCTCTAGTGTGTAATTTCCTTTCCAACACATTTACCAAATTGCTCAAGCCTGGCTCTTCAACCAGAGTTTGAGCCCGCATCTTCTTGCATCTAATGAAAAACAAAAAGCTAACATCTTTATGTACTGTAACTGCTCAGAGCTTTAAAAGTACCTTTAACAATTGTCTTAAAACCAGAGAATCTTAAGGTCGAACTGTGGAATATAAATAGCTGAAAACTAATGTACTGTACATAAATTCCAGAGGACTCTGCTTAAACAAAGCAGTATATAATAACTTTATTGCATATAGATTTAGTTTTGTAACTTAGCTTTATTTTTCTTTTCCTGGGAATGGAATAACTATCTCACTTCCAGATATCCACATAAATGCTCCTTGTGGCCTTTTTTATAACTTAAGGGGGTAGAAGTAGTTTTACTCAACATCAAAACTTAAGATGGGCCTGTACGAGATAGGAAAAACCAACAGGTTTATCTGAAGGACCCCAGGTAAAATGTTAATCTCCCAGCCCACCTCAACCCAGAGGCTACTCTTGACTTAGATCTATCCTGAAACGGCTCTGTCACATCCAACTGGGAATTACGGGAACCAAAAAGAGCATCCCTTTGGGCTTGGACCACTTACAGCGTCATAAGGCCTACTCTATCTTGGGAAGTGGCAATTCTTGTCTCACCGCCTCTCATCCGTGCCTGATAGCTCTGGCAAACCGATGACGGCATGGGAGACTTTCCATTAAATCGATCAGGAACGAGTCAATCAGCCTTTGGGTCTTCAGTTCCGGGGACTTGGGGCTGAGGGGGTATAAATAACCCTGGGCTGTCCAGCCTTAATAGACTCCTCTTACATTTTTGTCCTGTAGCACGCTGCCTGCCAAAGTAGTCCTGGCAGCTGGGCCATCTCTGTAGGATCGCAAAAAAAATAAAAATAAAAAAATAAAAAATGTAAAAAAACAAAAAAACAAAAAAACAAAAAAAAAAAAGAAAAAAAAAGAAAAAAGCAAAAAAAGCAAAAAAAAGAGAGGGAAAAAAGAGCTGGTGGTTTGATTATTTCTGCCGTGATGTTTACAAGATGGCAACCACCAAAGCCAAATGACTAACCTATCTATGAACAACAGTAGTTTCTCAGGGTCACTGTCCTTGAACCCAACAGTCCCTTAAGAGCGTCACTGCCCACCAAAGGTCAATGTTGAGGGAGAAAGAGGGAGGAGGGGTAGGACTGCAGGGGCCACTCCAAACTCGCTTAGGTAGAAACCATTGGTGCTTGACTCTCACTAGGTTGAACTCAAGATTTGACCAAATCGAGTGATAGGGTTCCTGGTGGGAGGAGGGAGGGCACATCTCCAGAAAAATGAAAAGCAATACAACTTTACCATAAAGCCTTTAAAAGCAGTAACGCGCTGCTCAAGGACCAAGGGCAATCGCAGCAGACCCAGCAGCAAGAGCAGCACGGCGTTGCTGCCTTTGTCCCCACACAGCCTCTAAGCGTGCTGACATCGGATTGTTAAGAGCATTTTTATACTCAGAACTGTCCCATCCCCAGGTCCCCAAACATATGGACACTGCCTTAGCCTCTTGGAAATCAGGTAGACCACACGCTAAGTTGACTCTCCCCCTCCCGCCCTCCCCAGCCCCCACCCCCCCAGGCAAGGCTGACTTCTCTGAACCAGAAAAGCTACCCAAGTATGTGTGTTGTGTCCATTTCGCAAACCCACTAAGCCAGGACCCCAATGCGACAAGTAGTTCACGAGGATTCCTAGCCAAATTCTCTCTTACTTCAGTCCAGTAGGTTCTCTTTGTTTGCTGTGACCTCTTCAAACCGTGGTACCCCCCTTTTCTCCCCACAGCGATACTTCTATATGTATCTATAATACATATATCCACACGTATGGAAAGAAGCAGTTCTCACGATGTTGCTAGTTTTTTGCTTCTCTTGTCCCCATCCGACCCCACTCCTTCCGACTCCCCTTTAAACTTCCAAAGCTTCGTCTTGTGTTTGCTGCACAGAGTGATTCGGGGGCTGACCTAGACCAGCTTGCATGATTCTTCTATCGTGATTTGGTTGCACTTTAGACATTTTTGTGCCATTATATTTGCATTATGTATTTATAATTTAAATGATATTTAGGTTTTTGGCTGAGTACTGGAATAAACAGTGAGCATATCTGGTATATGTCATTATTTATTGTTAAATTACATTTTTAAGCTCCATGTGCATATAAAGGTTATGAAACATATCATGGTAATGACAGATGCAAGTTATTTTATTTGCTTATTTTTATAATTAAAGATGCCATAGCATAATATGAAGCCTTTGGTGAATTCCTTCTAAGATAAAAAATAATAATAATAAAAATAAAGTGTTACATTTTATTGTTTTTTTTCCCCAATGTCTTTCATTGTTATTCTTTAAAAACTTCTTGAATGAGACTTTCTGAACGTGAAGTTAACGGCCGATTGAGTTCTTTAAAGTCACGGATTAAGTGGCGATATGTAAACGGATGTAGTTTAAATCAACACTTGCCAAATTTCCTGAAGACCATTTGGTGGCTCCCATTCCCCTCAGAATAAAATTGCACCCCAGAGTCCTTCCAGACGTCAGAGAAGCTGGATGGTCTGGACACCACTCAGCTCTCCAGCCTCAAGACTCCCCCTTCCTTCACAGCAACGAACCCTGTGCTCCCGCAGTGCGGGAGTTCTGCTAAGGCTGTGCTCGGTCTCCCTTCCGGGCCTTTATTTGTGCCGTCCTCACTTTCTAGAAGACCTTGCCCTCCACCTTGTGCTCAGACTGGAAGCCCCTTTGTGTAGCCACTGATGTGGTCCCAGCACTGGAAAAAGCACCCAGGTGCAGGATACCCTCAATGCTTTAAATGAATGGCTTAGAAGGACTTCAGGAGAGAGGGGAAAAAAAGACAAATCCAGGTGACGAGAGGCAGATGGCTCTGTGGTGAGGAGGGGTCCAGCTCTGGGGTCAGACTTCTGGGGTTTCAGTTCTGGCTCTGCCACTCGTTAACTGCATGATGTCAGATGACTTCATCCCGAAAGACATCGGTTTCCTCCTCTATAAAATGAGGAGAGTGGTAACTATCCATAGCACTATTAAAAGAACATAAAATAGGGGCGCCTGGGTGGCGCAGTCGGTTAAGCGTCCGACTTCAACCAGGTCACGATCTCACGGTCCGTGAGTTCGAGCCCCGCGTCGGGCTCTGGGCTGATGGCTCAGAGCCTGGAGCCTGTTTCCGATTCTGTGTCTCCCTCTCTCTCTGCCCCTCGCCCGTTCATGCTCTGTCTCTCTCTGTCCCAAAAATAAATAAATGTTGAAAAAAAAAATTAAAAAAAAAAAAAAAAGAAAAAAAGAACATAAAATAAGTGAAGTGCTTACGTGGCCAGTACGCGGTATTGCTCACTAAATCGCAGCAATTAGCATCCGAGGAGAGGGGATGGGGATAAAAGGAGGGAACTTCCCATGTCAAAAAACGGGGACGGGATTCACAGCAGGATGACATTTACCTGAGTCTTGAAGGATGGTTACGAGTTCAGTCACAAAAAAGTGGGGGAGGGCTACTGTAGTGTAGTGTTTCCAAGGAAAGCTCTTAGATCGTTCGTTTGTCTGTTTGTTTCAATTCGTGGATTTTCTCTACATTTGAAATTCAAACACGGATTTTTTTCTCACTATCATTCATTTCTGCCTCCAGACTGCATTTTTCCAAGTTCAGATGCACACAGGACAGCTAACAAATACTGCAAGAGTTGCCACTCTAAGGCCACAAACGTATGGCACTTGCTGTTCTCTGACCGGGCCCAGGACAAAGAATACATTGATTTCATTATGATCCTGCCTCCTCTGTCTTCTGTCACACCTGTCCAGGCAGAGAGGCTGTCCACACTACACTTTAGTGTGCTATTTAAGAGCTGAGACCTGGGGCGCCTCGGTGGCTCAGTCGGTTAAACATCCGGTTTCGGGTCAGGTCGTGATCTCGCGGTTCGGGGGTCGAGCCCCGGGTCGGGCCCTGTGCTGACGGCTCGGAGCCCGGAGCCTGCTTAGGGTTCTGTGTCTCCCCCGCCCCTGCTCATGCTCTGTCTCTCTCTATGTCTCAAGGATAATAAACTTAAAAAAAAAAATTAAAAAAATAAAAAAGACCTGAGATCTCCCCAAACTGAGTTCAAATCCTAGTTCCTCTGGCTTTGCGCCGAGTAGCTGACACTTTCATATCTGAGTTTTTCAGCTGTGAAAATATCCCTATGAAACAGAGATAAGTAATCAGTCCTACCTCCTGGAGTCATGAGCATTAAATGAGTTGCATATAAAATACTGAAAGTGTCCAGCACATAGCAAGTTTCCCCACAAATAGTATTTATTGTGCCCTCAACTAATGTAACTATCGCTCTGTACATGAATACTATCACCATCATTTCGATTCTACTCCCACTCCTCACATGAGTCTTGAGGTACCACCTTGGTTCTTGTTCT